TTAAATAGAATAAAAATAATTTTTTTTACAAAATAAAAGTATTTGAATAAAAAAGGGTAGGAAGAAAATTTAATATGGTATTTTCATTTAATCAGAAAATAATTTTAGATGAACAATAAATTATCACCTATGTTACACCGTCGGTTTGGGTAAAATCCTTGCAACTACTTCGACCTTATATGTCTCTACCATATCATATATTCTTTATTTGATGGATAAGACATAGGGGGATTTGGTTGGAAAGAGATGTAAGATTTATTTTGTCACTTACCCAAAAACAATTTATTATTTGTCTTCCTTTTAGCCTTCAGTGACATCTTCTTTTAAGGGAATCTCTTTGTTTTGATTATCTCAATCGTTTTTTTCTCAGGGAGATGTTGGTTGTGGGAAGACTGTGGTAGCTTTTTTGGCATGTATGGAGGTTATTGGTGCAGGTTATCAGGTAGGCCATGTAAAGTTTTCATTATTGATATTGGATAGTAGTGATTGACTTCAATTATGAGATTTCAGAGTCTAATTTGTTTGTTTGATAATTGATTTCTCGATTTTTGTGTATCCTACTCAAAAGAATGTGATTATTATGCACTGCTAACTACATTAACAAAGCTAAGAATACACATATTTAAATGAAAAACATACTCTAGATACTTCTCTATCTCGGGGCTATTGTTCAACAAGAACCAATGAGCCATATCACGATATTCTTGTGACATATCAGCATCCCTTGTGATTAGGCCAATAGGACGGGCAGTTTCTGTGAATACAGTTAACCCTTTGTGACGTTCGCCACGATCTTGATTTCGTTCGGGTCGATTATGCACTGTTTCGATCCCATCAACATACATTGGTGTCTTACCAATAGTATTATGAGCAGTCACCTCAAGTTGAGGCTCCACATTGAGAGGTGGTGGTGGATTGCTAGTCACCTCAGGACGTGAAGAGGTATCCCCCTCTTCTACTGCGTGGGTCAATGCCTCATGATGAGATTGTGAACGGGCTCTCAATGGTATCTCTAAGAGCTGAATAACATAATAAAATATGAATATATGTACAAAGATATACATGTCTATGTGTGTATGAATTGAAAGTAACAAGAAAGAATATATTTCACAATGCATAAATGTATAGTACCTCATGCTCAAACGAATCATAGGTTTCAGTGTCACTGCCATCTTCAGCCTCTGACGGTCGATAATCATCATCATTTTCCTCAATTGGTATTTGTTTTTCCTTCCTCAATTTCTTATGTTGAACCGTAGCCTTCAAACAAGTTGTTATATTCTTCACTCCTAGAGTCTTCATTCTCTCACGGTTTTTATTAATATTCTTCATTCTTTGTTTCTCATAGTTCGTTACCTTCTTAGTTGCGGTACTTGGTTTGGTCAATTGCTTTTTTGTAGCGTCCATTTTGCCCAACTATAAAGCATAATTGAACATTTTTTTGGTGGATACGCATAATTGAACATTAGATGTAAAGAAAAGATAATTATATATTTCTATACATAAAGCATAAAGCAACAACAATCTCAACAAGTGGATATGTCATATAGGCTCTAAATCATTGAAATATGGCTAGAGTGATATGGATGATTTTTGTTTTTACCATTTACTTATCATAGAACAAATTAATTACAAAGCCATCAGACACACAATATGACCAATCAATGATAAACCTACATAACAGTGGATGAACCCCACAATTGAAATTCAACTACATTAATTAAGAACAATGTTCATATAGAAAGTGCAAAATAACTACAAATCCTAGTCTACATCAAGATCCATATCGTAATCCACATCAGGTTCGTCACACTCTTCATTTTGTTTGTCAGCTCTATTCTCTATCATTGTTTCATCAGATGACCTAACCCTTGTAACAACTTCTGCTTCAACACCATCTCTTAACATTGAACATTAGGGCCGATGTCAATTGGAACAACATCGGTAATATTTTCTTGTTGGAACACATCGTTTTCTTCTGGTTCATGTAATGATTCTCCATCACCTACCTCTGGTACATCAAAGACACCCCTATGTTGCACTCGTTGAATGACTTGCCAAGGTTGTCCCCATTTGGTATCATTTAGGTAAAAGACTTGCTTAGCCTTGCTAGGCAAGATGAAAGGGTCGTGTTGATACCACCGACTTGTGACATCAATACTTGTGCAATAATCATCAGTTCGCAATGTTCTAGTTCGACCTGTGTTTCCTGTGTTGTACCATTCACACTGGAACAATATAACTTTGTTATGACACATGTACTCCAATTCCCAAACATTGCACAAGTGACCATAAAATTCATGCGTCACTCCCTCATGATCCCCTTCCGTAAGCACACCACTATTCTGACTTTTACGGCGATTGTCTACTTCTCTTGTACGAAACCGTACGCCATTGATTATGCAACCTGAGTACTCTTTTACTAGCAAATTTGGGCCAGTTGCTAATGACCATAAATCATTGGTTGCTTCTAGTGACTTTTATTCTCTCAATATATTTATCTACATTCACATATAACGTACATTAAGATAGTAAAAATAAAATAATAAATGATCAAATCTTATACAAATTTTTAATCATGTCTTAAATTGAAAATGCCTTACTCGCTCTTTGAACCACTTGGGAAACTCTTGTTGTTGTATACCGGTTATGCCTTGGTCAGATGGAGTCCGTAATAGATTTTTGTGTATCCTACTCAAAAGAATGTGATTATTATGCACTGCTAACTACATTAACAAAGCTAAGAATACACATATTTAAATGAAAAACATACTCTAGATACTTCTCTATCTCGGGGCTATTGTTCAACAAGAACCAATGAGCCATATCACAATATTCTTGTGACATATCAACATCCCTTGTGATTAGGCCAATAGGACGGGCAGTTTCTGTGAATACAGTTAACCCTTTGCGACGTTCGCCACAATCTTGATTTCGTTCGGGTCGATTATGCACTGTTTCGATCCCATCAACGTACATTGAACAAAAAAGTAATGCACTCTTTGACAATGTAAGCCTCTGCGATTGAACCTTCTGGTCGAGCTCAGTTTGTAACAAACTTTTTTAAAGCTCCGAGAAACCTTGAAAAGAGAATTAGTTAAGAGCAAGGTTACACATGCAACATATAATTACGAACCTTTCAATTTAACAATTACCTTTCAATCCGGTACATCCATCGATATTGCGCCAGTCCTCCAAGAATAGCCTCATGCGGCAAGTGAACGGCCAAGTGAACCATCACATCAAAGAAGGCTGGAGGAAAGATCTTTTCAAGCTTGCATAATATGTGTACTATACGTTCCTCTAATTTCTCAAGTTCATTACGGCGCAGTGTCCTTGAGCACAAATCTTGGAAAAAGCTACCTAACTCAAATAGTGTTTTACTAATCTCTTTGTCTACGTAACCACGCATCCCAATTGGAAGAATCCGTTGTATGAGTACATGGCAGTCATGACTTTTCAAGCCTGTTAATTTACCATTTCTCGCATTCACTGATCTTGATATGTTTGCAGCATAGCCATCCGGATACTTCACTGATTTCAAGAATTCAAAGAAACCCTCCCTCTCTTCAGGGGTCAATGAAAAGATTGCCCTAGGTTTGACATAAGTTCCATCAGGACGATGTGTTAACCACAACTCTTTCCTTATACCCATATCTTCTAAGTCCATCCGTGCTTTGTCGGTGTCTTTGTTCTTTCCATCAATGCCTAACATAGTTCCAAAGGTATTTTCATTAAAATTCTTCTCGACGTGCATAACATCAATGTTGTGTCGAAGCTTCTGTTTCTTCCAGTATGGTAACTCATACAAGATGCTTACCTTTGTCCAATTTGGTTCCTGACAGAGTCTTTTCTTATTTCTTGGATGCTTCCCATATGTGACACCTGTCACTCTGTCCAATTGCTCTAATATCTTTTCCACTGGTAACTTTAAAGATCTCTTTCACTTCTCATGTTTACCATTGTAAGCCTTACTCTTTCGCCTTTCGGGGTGGTTTTGAGGCAAGTAGCATCGATGGTTAGTGTATGCAGTCTTACCTTTCAAGAATTGAAAATATGGTTCATCATTGCAAGTGTAGCAAGAATAATGACCCTTTGTTCTCCACCCAGATATGTCACCAAATGCAGGCCAATCGTGTATAGTCCACATCAAAGCTGCACGCATCTGGAAAGACTCACCAGTTACGGCATCGTAAGATAATGCGCCATTTTTCCACAACTCATTCAACTCATCCACCAGAGGTCTCATGTAGACATCAATATCGATCCCTGGTTGTGATTCTCCAGGAATAAGCAGTGACATCATAAGAAAGGGATCTTTCATAACCAACCAAGGTGGCAAGTTATAAGGAATGAGTACTACAGGCCATAAACTATACGAGTTGCTCATGTTCCTGAAAGGATTGAATCCATCAACAGCCAACCCTAGCCTCACATTTCGAGGCTCCAGGGCAAACTGAGGATGTTGCACATCAAATTCCTTCCATTCATCACTATCGGCGGGATGTCTCAATACTCCGTCATCTATACGTTTCTCCTTGTGCCATCTCATGTCCTCAGCAGTCTTTCTTGACATGTACAATCTTTTCAACCTTGGTGTTAATGGGAAGTACCGCAACACCTTATGGGGAATCTTCTTACCCCTGCCACGATTGATCTTGTATCTGGATGCCTTACATTTTGGACATTTATCTAACCTTGCATTTTCCTTCCAAAAGAGTACACAATCATTTATACAAGCATCAATTAACTCATATGACAAGCCCAAATCACGAAGTATTTTCTTAGCTTCATAAAATGACTTTGGAACCAAATTATCTTTTGGTAAAAGTTTTGTTAAAAACTCCAATAGTGTGTTAACCGACTTATTGCTCCAGTGGTTTGTTACCGTCATATTAAGCAGCTCGATGACAAACTTCAACAGAGTGTAGTTTGTGCAACCTAAGTACACCTCACGTTTGGCATCATTCAATAGTTTATCAAACGTTTGTAGTTCCTCATTCTAGGGTGCATCATTGGGTTCTCCTCTTATTCGATCTTCCACTAAGGCATCAATACCACCTAAAACCTCATCTTCATCAATTGCCATTTCATGATGAGCCTCATTTGATACACGTGGTTCCCCGTGCTCATGCCAAATAGTGTACGTTTGCATAATCCCATATTGAAGCAAATGAATTTGCACATTTCGAAGATTTTGGGAATAATAGTTCACACAGTTCAAACATGGGCACGAAATTTTACCTTCCTGGTCAACAACTGCCATTGCAAATTTGATAAATGATGTCACCCCATCAATAAATGGCTGACTCATCCTTCCATCAGGTGTCTTACCCAAAGCAATCCAACTCTTGTCCATGTCTGATCACAAATGAAAGATCAAGGTTTTTTATGTCATAAAACGCATCATGTGTACTATTAACCTATTCCATTTAGGAATGCACAATGTGTATCATAGAAAGAAAATCATATTACGTTGTCTATCTCTAATCTTTCCTTAGTTCTCCAAGTATATAACATAGATTAAGATGGAACATATTTAAGTAGTAAAGTTGCAAAGTACAATGTAGACTAATGTATTTTCAAATTGTTTGAATTTCGCCAACTAAGAAAAACTGTATTTTTTTTTTGGTAATTAAGTCATAAAATAGATTAGCGAAAACCCCATTACACAGCTACCAAACAAACTAAACTAAGCTAACAACTAAACTACGAGAAAAATGAAGCTAACAACTAAGCGAAAACCCTACTACTGCATGGTATGACTTAAATTTGCATCATGTTATTAGTCTCTATCTCTTTCTTAGTTGATCCTTAAATAAATTCTAATTTATCTCAAGTATACAATCAAATTATTAAAATATTTTTAAATGTAGAATTCATTACCTATTTTGATATTATATTAGATTGTTAATTACCAACTCATTCAAAAGATTAAACTATTCAAATGTGACACATGCATGGAATGACTTAAATTTGGAAGAAACCCAACTGGCTAATTACAAAATCAAACTTTAATTAGGCTCATACACATTAAATTACAATTATTCAGTTATGTTTAAATTACTGAATCAGGCACTCATAACTGTGTACATTCTGCAATTTCAACTCCAAATCAAGCCCCAAAACTCTTAAAAACATGTTGAATTCAACGGCTAAGATTTAAATTTAAATAGTCACGAAGCATGCAACTACATTAAGGCCAACTTGCACATAATAAATTATTTGCTACGTTGCTTTGATTTTTCTTATATGTACTGGTTTAGGCTTTAATTAAGACCTTGTTGAAGTTGAATATTTAATTTGAAATAAAGATCAAACTTTCAATGTAAACTCAATTTCCATGCAAAATAAATCAAACTCTTGAATTCAAATATAATCCCATAACTCACAAAGTATATTCTTAGCTTCATAAAATGACTTTGGAACCAAATTATCTTTTGGTAAAAGTTTTGTTAAAAACTCCAATAGTGTACCAACCGACTTATTGCTCCAGTGGTTTGTTACCTTCATATTAAGCAGCTCGATGACAAACTTCAACAGAGTGTAGTTTGTGCAACCTAAGTACACCTCACGTTTGGCATCATTCAATAGTTTATCAAACGTTTGTACTTCCTCATTCTGGGGTGCATCGTTGGGTTCTCCTCTTATTCGATCTTCCACTAAGGCATCAATACCACCTAAAACCTCATCTTCATCAATTGCCATTTCATGGTGAGCCTCATTTGATACACGTGGTTCCCCGTGCTCATGCCAAATAGTGTATGTTTGCATAATCCCATATTAAAGCAAATGAATTTGCACATTTCAAAGATTTTGGGAATAA